AGCCACCAAGCCCTGGCTGCTCCAGCAGGCCGGGGGGCTTGTGAAACATCCAGCCCCACGGAAATTGTGAATGTTGCGGTTTTTGTTTTAAAGTGTTGTCTTTGTCCAGTTTTCCCTTTCCCTTGTCTATTGTGAGCCGCCCGGAGTCCTTTGGGAGTGGGCGGCATACAAGACAAATAAATACAAATACAAATACAATACCTTAGTACTGTCTTTTAATACATATATCAAACTTATAAAAATCCATCCTAACTAATTAAGTCATTAAATTTAATTCACTCCCTCCAGCTTATCTTAATAAAGTCTTTTTCTTCTCAGGAATGTCTATCAAGTCTCTTTTCTTCAAGAAATTCTCAGCCTTGTTAATATCCATGAAAGTCTCAAAGTTGTTCTGTTAAAAGTTATAGATTAACTTGGAGCACTTCCTCATAGAATAAAATCTTCTTGTCTGTGATGTCTATCATATCTTTTTTTCTCACAGGATTTTCAAACTTTTTAGTATCCATGATGAAAAAAATCACAAACCTGACCTCTTAAAAATTGTGAATTTACTTGGCACTCTTGTTTCAATTGCACTGGGAGGGTTATATTCAAACCTTCATCATAAAAAAGCTGATTTATAAAAATCAGATTTATATTCCAAGGTTAAGTTATTTGCATTGTCCAGTATTTGTGGAGTTGTCACAATGGGTTGATAATTTTCTACACCTAATAGTGTCTCTTGTTCTTTTTAAATATCATCTGTATGATTTGTGTCTTTAATCCCTAGCCGATTTATGGTATAAATCGTTTTTCTGTATGGAGCTTTCAAAGACTTCCCTGATGACACATTCAAGCTCAGGATTAAGCATCTTTGTAGCACCCTCTAGTGGTCAATAATTTTATTTTTTATTTTATTTTTTCCTTTTTCTGGCCAATCGGAGTTCATGAAAATCAGAAAATTTCAACCACCCACAACAAAGCAGTCCAGGGCTACAGATTATTTTAAAAATAGTAAGATAAAACCACAACTTTGATCCTTATGTTTGTCCATCAAAAGAAAAAATATTCCACACTTCCTTATTTTAGCTGCCTCCAGCAATCCTCTTCCTCATGGGTGTCAAACTTGCTGCATCATGTTGCCGTCATGTGACATATCACAACTTTTTTCCCTTTGTGGAACTGGGGTGGGCGTGGCCTGCACATGACGCATCCGGCCCATGGGCCGCCAGTTTGACACCCATATATATATAGTATATAGATATTAATATGGTATTTATAAACTTAAGTTACAACTTTTTCACCAAAGGCTGACATAAACCTTCTGTATGCATATTTGGTTACATATTGTCAGCCCTGTCTCACCTTGCACTTTTAAGTAAAAACGATCCTTGGCTTCATTCGTTGCAAAAGGTACAGTTTTATTAGATGTCAAGTGAACTGCAGTAAAGCAAAGCCAGAAATGAAATTCTCATGCCAATTCCCCAAGTGAAAACCCTTTTCCCCCTTAGGCACTTCCCATTGCTTCCCCCCCCCCCTCCCGCCCATCGTCCAATCAATCTTGAAGAGGTTTTTGAAACAGTCACTCTGATTGTAGGCTGGCTGGCTCAAACCCTCACTTTTGTAACTTTCACTTTTCCCCCAAGCGCTCCCTCTCCCTCTCCCCCTCATGTTCATGGCAGACTGTCAGAGTTTGTTGCAGCAGTCACATCCAGAAAGCACACACAGGTAACTGATTCAGCAGGATTCATTAACTTCTCTTTATATATAATATAACACATGAAGTAAATATACAATACCAAAAGCAGGTTTTCCAACGTGGTGGTAAATACAACCAAAACACAAGTTTCAGTTCAGAGCAGCAGACTACTTTGCAGCTTTTGTATAGAAGTTAACCTAAGCCACGCCCAGTCTCCTTGCTGTCTCCTGTCTCCTTAAACACAGCATCTGTGTTTTATTCCTAACTGTCCCAACCACTTTTGAATACTTGTTGATATAAATTCTGAACCTCTGTCAGTTTGCAGCTGACATACCTGTTGTTTATATCTTCTTTCTACAAAGCTTACCCATTGCTTAAATTTCTGTAGCACCTCCATTTTACTCTTCAATAAATAGCAGAACCCAAACCTGCTGTAGTCATCTACAATGACCAGCGCATACTTTGCTCCTCCCAAACTGGCTTGCATTGCCCCCACCAAATCTGCGTGTATCAGCTCTAGAGCTTTTGTTGTCTGCCTTGTGCTACTTTTGCTTACTGGGAATGCCTTGGACTTTGATGATTTGCATACTGCACAGTCCAAATATGCCTTACATCCCTTTAAATGTAACCCTTCTGCAAACTGTTCCATCTTTTGCAAAACTCAGAAGCTGGCATGACCAAGCTTTCTGTGCAAGAGATGAACATGTTATGCCACATTTCCAAATGTTTGTGCACATTGAACCTTTTGTCCCTGCAACACATAAAGATTATCCTCTTTTATGCCCTGTGCACATACACTTCCATTTCTTTTTATGAGACACTTCCCATTTACAAATGTGGTCTCAAACGCTTGCTTGTCTAAACTAGAGACACTCAATTAATTATGCTCCATTTCAGGCACACATAATATATCATTAAACCTCTTTTCCAGATATGGAATTTGCACACTGCTTCTTCCAATGACTTTAGCCTTCTGGCCATTTGCCAAGACTACTGCATCTCCAGCAACTGAATCCATCCTGTAAAACAATTTAGAATTATTAACAATTGTTTGACTAGCCCCAATGTCTATTAACCATTTGTCTCTGCTATTGCAATAGCTAACTTCTGCCACAGCAAAATTTGTGCATCTGTTGATTTTCTTCCTTGCAAATAGTTTTTCCTTTGCAAACAGTCCTTCTTTAAATGTGTCTTCACCACATATGAAACACCTCCGTTGTTGCTGTTTGTTGGTCTAGTCTCTGCAGACAGCCAGTCTGTTACATTTCTCTCTCTCTTCCTTGGGGCCCCCACCTCATGAATTTCTCCTCATTGCTTTTTCT